AGTGTGCAAGCATCCAATTATTGACTGCCTCCTGCTTACCCTTGATACAGAAAAAAGTCACACTGCAAACCTTGCATACAGAGTGCAAAATAACTCCCCACACACATCCAACTGCAATTTAAATGTTCCAAAATATGCTCCCTGTTACTGTAATAGTTTAGATCCTCCTTGTCCACATTCCTGAACTTCAGGCATACATGGATTTCCTGTACCTTGGTTTGCCCCAAGTCCCTTAATCCCAACTTCCAGATGTTTCCATGTTTTTTCCTGGGAAATAAAACTACTCCATACAGTTTATCAACAATATCTACAAGAATCTCTGACTTGAGATCCTCTTAGCTCCTGGCAGAGTCTCCCTGCATCATTTCACTTTCTATTTGACTTTCTGCATTTTTAATCTGCACCTTTCTTCCCCAAGAATGTAGGACCCACCACTCCTTCCTGCAAACCAATACACAGTTGCATGTTGCTAACTGATAAATTTGAGCTTTCTGAGAAGAGAAAATAAACTGTGCCTGTGGTGCAGAGGCCACACTACACCCTCCTGGCTCAGGTCTGCCCATACTGTAAGGGGGAAGCAGAAGTGATGGGCAGTAGGTCTTGTCCAGCCAACAATCACTGCAATGCAGTGAAAAGAAAGAGAGAGAAAAACGAGAGAAGAAAAAGAATGGAGAGAAAGAAAAGAGGCAAAGGCCAGAAGGAATATTCCTGTACATTCCTGCCTCCCTGGTCTGTTTGACATCTTTATGTAAACCCACTACAGAGGGGCCTCCTGCCAGCTACAAAAATGTTGCTTGAACACAGCAGCCTTCCAAAGGTTCTGCCAAAATTCAGCTGTGGAGCAGCCCTGAATACACCCAGTGTATCCTGCAGGTTTTGTACCTTTTCCTTGTCCAGTGAATGAGATTTCATTGAGTCATGTGATAGATGTCCTTCCTTCCCAGCCATCCACTGCTATGCAGCGCCAGGGCACATGGGCACCTGGGAGCTGGTGCTCAATGCCACAGTCAGGGCACATCCTCTGTGGCTCCTGTGAAGTGCCATAGCATTTCCCCAGCTCCTGGACCTGACACAGGATAGGAAGAGACATCAGATTTGTCCACCTATGATTCCAAAGTAGAAAAGAAACACAATGCTGTTCTGGGAATGAGGTCTTTTGCACTGGAGTAATTACAAATAGATATGAATTTCATGGATATTTTATGTGAAGTGTGAGATTTGACTGGTTTCACCAGTGAATCCCTGAAATATAGCCAAAAGCAGAATGACTTTCCACATAGGAAACTGAAGGATGAATTCTGTAACTGCCATGGACCTGCAGAACTCTATCCAGAGCTAACCCTGGCATAGGTGTACACATAAATCACACCCTTACAAGGAACCAAGATCAAGCAGCACAAGGGCTTAAGGGATTAGAGACTTATTCTAGAGATGGGAGTTATTACTGGCACAGTCACCAGGTCCAATTAACCTCTCAACATCTCAGTTTTATCTCAAAAACTGGCAATAGCCAGTGCTCAACCGTGGGCAGCACAAAACCCAGCTCTCACCCTTTTTCTTTGTTCTTTTTTTTTCTTTTTTTTTTAGTGACCAGCCACAAAGAAGATTCTGCATTTCTACCTGATGTTCCCTGTTTCTAGTAAAACGATAATAAAAAAAGATGATCCCTTCATCCTATGCCTAAAATTTTTCTTAACATTTCCTCTAGAAATCCAATACTTCAGAAGCACAGATTTAATGTCAAATATAATGTCAAATCTGAAGTAGGCACTTCTGGGTGAATCACACTGTTACAAACACCAACAGAGCACTTCATTCCAGTTTCATCTACTCTGGCCCTAAAAGATACCTAACACAAGGTCATCACCAAGCTCACTGATCTATCTTCGCTGCTCGCTGCTAAGTCGATGGGGAGACATGGAGAGAACACACATGTTCTGTCTTCTGTTTCACAGCCCTGGGAAGCTTGAAGGTAGGACAAGCAGCCAGACCACAGAAGCAGCTGCTTCCCAGCGGAACAATTCCAACATGGATACTCTTTCCCAGAAAGGAAGGGGAGTGGAGAAGGGCAAAAAGTCAGAAGGGAATTTCCCCTGCACTGGAATTTTCTCTCCATGAAGAGGTATACAAGTACAGAGCCTACAGGCATAACACACAGGATCTAGTAAGTTTGCTTTATACAAAAAGCAATTGCCTTTTTAACATATAATGACAATCTAACATTGGTATAAAAACTAGGTATCTTTCAGGTTTTATGGAAGTTTTTTCTCTGCAAATCCATCTTTATAGAGTCTTGCTGAATTGTGATTCACATTTACTTTAGCAGACATTAAAAAATGGTTGCAGCTACAAATTATTATATCTTCCTGGTATCTCAAACACCTATCATTTAAGGCATTTTATTCATTTTTTCAGATGTGCAAACAAGGTATACAACCTTTGAAGATGCACAAGCCCTCTGAAATTTGTACTTCTATATAAATAGGCTTGTAGATACTTTAATAACACAGTCATAAATATATTTTCTCTTATGTTGCATCTGTCATGAACACTTGCCTACATGAACAACAAGAATGCCAAAAAATCTCCTAAGTCTGGCCAGAAGTGCAGTATTTATTCTTGAATTAAAACGAATTCCATGTGCAAGCTAAAGTAGCACTCCATCAATAAAACATTTCAACCACTGTCTGTGGTATGGCACTGAGGCATCTCTTTTCAGCTTTATCTGACCCCAGGGAGTTCTTGCTTTACGTAGCTAAGAATCAACACAGAATTATTTTAAGTATATCTTCAAATACTTTGTTTAATTTATACCTAATTTAAAGAACTATTTGGCGACTCGGGTGTGCATGAATACATGAACAAGAATACATCTGAATTTTTAGAACAAAACTTTTTCATATTATGGAATTTTGTATTATAAACTTCTTAACAGGTACTCGCAATTTGATCAGAAATGCTCCCCTTTCTTTTTCTAGTTCCAAAACATTTTGTAATTTTCCTTCTTGACAGCTGCTGGAACAAAAAAATTTCTGAAAGAGAGGTGCTTGAAAAATACATTTTTCTATTTGCCTTTATCAGTCTTCATTCAGAATGGTTTCATGCAAATGTAGATATGAATTTCAATACTGGATAAAGTCCAATACTAAAATCTAAACATGACTATATGAAGAACCTAGAGAGGAAAGAGAGTTTGAGAATTATGTAATCAGGAGACAAGAGCCTTGTCGGTAAAGAGGGTGGTACATAAATGGGCCAAAGAAAAGATTACTGTGAGTTCATCAACAGTAATTAATTTCAAATCTCCTCTCTAGGAGGACCTTGGGTGTTTACTAAAAAGCAGCATGGTTGTTTCTCTGAGTTCTCAGAAAGGCAAAAAGAGATGCTTCACACATAGACCAAAGCAAGTTATTAGCAAACTGAAAGATTTGAAAACAGTATCTTGAACTATAATTCCATGCAAAAAGGAAGATTCATGCAAAATCTATACATTATGTGTTCAGCATTAGGAATAGCTGAGCAAGTTACATGCTCAATGTTATACCAGATTACATTTGCAAAGTGTTATTTTACCACAGCCAAAATGACAAAAATATAGAGGTCCAACCTAGAAAAGATAATTTTAGAGAGATTTGTATTATCCATGTTTGTCTGTGTCTCTTTGGTTACAACCACTAGCAAGGCTCCATGTACACAAACTGAGAACAAGCAGTATGACTACTCTGAATACAGTTTAAAAGACTGAGTTACTCTTCTACAATGGTCAAAGGACTGGGAGGAGCCAAAGCTTTGCTTATTCCTCATAAACGTAGAATTGTAGAATTGTAGAATCATAAAATCATTAAGGTTGGAAAAGATCTTCAGGATCATCGAGTCCAACCTGTGACTGAACACCATCATGTCAACTAAACTATAGCACGAAGTGCCACATCCATTATTTCCTGAATACTTCTACAGATGGTGACTTCACCTCTTCCCTGGGCAGCCCATTGAATCAATTAACAATCCTTTTAGTGAAAGAATTCTTCCTGATGTCCAGCCTGAACCTCCCCTGGCACAGCTTGAGGCTATATCCTGTCATCCTGTCTCCAGTTGCCTGGGAGAAGTGACCGACCCCCACCTGGCTACAACCTCCTTTCAGGCAGGTTGTAGAGAGTGATGAGGTCTCCCCTGAGCCTCCTCTTCTCCAGGCTAAACACCCTCAGCTCCCTCAGCTGCTCCTCATAGGACTTACACTTTTTTTGCTTTACCAAATGGCAGCACCATCATTTTATCAGTCGGATGTGTGTGCTCTGTACTCAAAAAAATAAACAAGCCAGCGCTTTTATTAGTAACTTAACAGAACATAAATTCCACTACAAACTTGTAAAGGAATTTCTCCTGAGGGAAAAACATAATTAGAGTTTTCCAGAATAGTAGAGGGTTGCTGGGGTTTTGATGTGTTTCAGACATATTCAGAATTTTAACTGTGTATATTTATAGGTTCCAAAAGATTTTCACCAAGTCTGTGTAAAAACCTTTCTTTTTCGTTTGTTTTAGAGGATGCCTGTTTATCATACATTTTCTTGTCCACTAAAGCATCTATCCAGACACAAGACCATGTTAGAATTACTTCAGTCATGCATTAATCATAGTTGATGAAAGACTTTAGGCAACTATTCAGTTTTAATAAAAACTCTTGAAAGTTATTATCCACATAAAGAAATAGCTTGGAACATTTCATACAAAAAGCAAAACAGAAACCCAATAATTAATAAAGAGATTATACCATCTTAAGTTTTAAATAACACTGAACAGATGGTTTAATCTAAAGGTCTATATAAGCCAAAAATAGCAGATGAAAAAAAAAGTGCATGATAGGAAAGTCCACAGTTCCAGGATTGGAACATACTGCACAGCAGGGCTATTCTAAAATATATGGAAGGTAGAAAGGATAAGGAGCTGTGCCTCAACTATATCTTTTTTATTTTTTATAAAATTTATCAACACTTCCTAATTACCTTTACATATTTTGAAAGTTTCTGAATTCCCCAGTATTCAGGTGATAAATCAGTGGTTCCTTCCTGACGACGTATAGGTTGTTCATCCTCCTCAGCATCTGAGGAACTGTCACTAACATCTTCTAAACTGCTTGATGTTTTACTAAAAATAAATAAACAGAATCACCAATTTTAAACAGCTAGAAGCTAATAGGGACAAGCACATTTCAAACAGGTATTACAACAGTGCCTAATAAAAGAATTAGAAAAACACAACTGACATTACTGAACAGTAAATATGGTGATAATTACTGTAGATAGGGAAAATAAATTATTTTTTTTTAATAAAGAAAGAAAAATAAGTAACCCATACCTTCCTGGGGCTCGATTAATTTTAAGAGATTTAGGACTGGCACTGGATTTCTTTTTCATTTTTGAAGATACAGTACTACTTCTCCCTTCTTCTTCAGTATCTTTTTTTGAAGCCTTGTCACTAGATTCGGGTTTATTCAAAAAAATAAATAAATAAAAAAAAAACCAACAAAAAAACAGAAATCATTTTTTCCAGAACATTCTTCAGCAGATTGTGACTCAGAGAACTCCTGATTGTCCATGCATTAACAGTTTTGGATGGATTCTTCTTCAATGAATGTGTCTGGTTGCTTTTTGTACTCACATAAACAAATGAATTTACTATCCTCTGGCAAAGACTTTGAGTGCTTAGCTATGTGGTGTATGAAGAAGTCTCTCTCTGTTCTGAACTGATCTCACTGGCTCATTTTCATTTGATGCCCTTTATTCTTGTCCTAGAACAGACAGTGACTAAATGTTCCCTGTTTATCATCTCCAGTCATGATTTTCTGTATCTTTCTTCTTCTCTTCTAGTCATTATTTTCCAGGCAAAAGAGTTCTAGTCTGCCTAGTTCTTCCACACACTGACATGTTCCATAGCTTTGATCATGCTGAATACAATATATCTTGCTTTCCTTATATTCCAAAAGATTCCTAGGTCTAGTTGAGTACAATAACTGGTGCTTTTTTGTCCCTAACTTACAATATTATGAAAGCAAAATGTCTTTTCAAGCCTGGACTGGTCAGCCTGTCACAGTCACAACAATAAAAGAGAATACTACTCATGATTACAGTCCATTTCACTACATCTAGACTTTAACAGACTGGGGAAAAAGGTTAGCTCTTGCCCTGGGAAACCATTTTTTTTTTAATTGATGACTGTAAGTCAAATCCTAAATCTCTTAAAATGTTTCTTGCAACGTCAGATTGGAGGACTTGAGAAGATACTATTTTTTGTAGGATGGCAATCAAAGGTTTTTCTTCAGATATTCTTCTTCCTCCAGTGACATGAAATCAGGAAACATTAAATCAAAATAGAATTCTGATTTCAGAAGAAAAATCCAACAATATCCAATATATGTATACTCTATTTTGGGTGTTCAAGATTTGAGATAATCTCATTAGTGAATATTGTTGCTAAGCAGAGATAGAGAAGTGGCTCGTATAATATAAAATCATTAAAAATTGGTAGTAACAAGTAAGAGTCATTCTGATTTTCCATCATGAAAGTGTGGTTTAGATTAGATTTTTCTACTCTGTCGTGCTTTAAAAGGCATTTAAAACCAAAAATATGATGATAAACCAGTACTGAGTAGAATTACAAGACATTTCTCTGCCTTGCCGCAGAAATGATGTAACATTAAAGTTGTTGCATGAGAGAAAAAACATGAGAACCCTCTTCTTAGAAATTAACATGTAGTAAGTTTTTTTTCATTGCTCTTAAGACAATAATGCAGACTGTAACATGCAGTCCAACCACTAGCACACTTTAGAGAGACCTATAGGAAAATTCAATTATAAAGATAACTACTTATCTTTGGGAAGCAGAAAGCCCAGTATTTTTCCACTGCATAGTTGGTTGTAACTTCTTGCCAGTGGATCTTCTCCCTGCTGCAGAACTTTTCACTTTCTTTTCTGTAGAATCATAACGGTTCTGGGACTGGCCAGAAACCTCAGCATCAGCACCTTCCACGTACTGATAATTCTTCTCATATGCTGGTTCTTTAAAAAAACTATATTCCTAATAAAAGGAGACATGGTTTGTCAGTTATATTGCTATATGAATAATGCATATGAAGTTATAAGCACTTATAAGCACAATTCCAGGATTCTGTGCTTAAAAATTGTATGCATTATACGTAGAATTAGATTCTAAACACAAAGTTGTATTGTCTTTAAAAGAAAAAAAATTAATTTTGAAAGCAGCAGTTACCATGTGCAAATTAAAGTTTTTTAAATAAAGGAAGTAGCTAAACTTGGAACTTTCTGAACATACTTGAAAATTTGGTGTTGTTCAGTTTCTAATATGTCCAATAATTTGTGACACAAGCACTTTTATAGAACCTAATTCCAAATGAGTTTTAAGATCCAGGATTGCAAAATCAAGTCACTGTGTTTCCAGTGGATCATTTACATAAAATCCTTCTATAAAGGATTTACAAAAAATTCCCACAAAAAAAGTAATGAAGAAAATAGGCTATCATAAACTGCTAGACTTCAGTTCCAAGTAAATTCATTTGATATAGTTTAGAATTAATATAAACACATTCCTTTTCATTTTTTTCATGTTCCGTCTGTCAGGACAAAACACTGTTGAACAAGTCACATACAAGAATTGAGCTGAGTGGCACCTACCAATCCTTCAGCTGTCTGTGTCTAGTACCATGGCTGATCAAAAACATACAGAACAGAAAAGACTCTTGTCAACTCCTATTCTCCATTGGAACATATTCAATTTTTACAGGAGAGACAGCATACAATCGTTACTTATTATTATTATTATTGCAGCTGTCACTACCAGATAGGTGAAGACATTCCTTTATGTATCTGATTCAGGGCAGTTTTAAGGAGGCTGTCACAGTGTGGTCTGCTTTTGACCAGTCCCTGATGTGAATCGGCTGTTCCAGGCTTGCTGATCCAACTGTCCCATTCCACACTAACTCCTGCTAATTCTCTCATTCTGAAAATGTACTCCAGACAAGGCAATTTAGCACATGATAAACTAGATAAATCACAGGGAACTGGTGCTGTAGCTTGACCAGCTAAGCATACATTAAAAAGTATGTTTCCTACAGCACTATATACCAACAGAGAAATTCTGAATGTTAGCTTAAACAAGGTCAGGCAGATATTATAAAAGTTAATTGGCTTTTATGTGTATGTAACAACCTTTTTAAGGCTCTCCTCTCCTCAGAAAATAAGTCAAAACTACTCCCAGTCATATTTTACTTCATATAGGCAAACTTGGAAATATGGCTTTTCTCTGCTTTTGAGAGTTCTAAACCAGAGATTTTCTCTCAGGTACAAATGCTCTGCAGCTTTACAGCATTAACTTGTTTACATTCTAGTTTTAGAAAGGAGAAAGTACTAAACCAGCTTTTCATCATGGCAGGATGATATGCTATTCCTAAACCATTAAAGGGAATAATGTATACTCTTCTACATAAACATATTTACACAGCCAGGCACTACTCAGTGCGTGATTTATGTGATAACGGAAGGAAAACAGTATAAATTCTATTTATTTATTCTCATTTAATAAGTGTACACATTTCTTGAATAGTTACGTTATCTTTATAAGAGCAGAAAACCAGTAAAGAAAGAAATATTATCTCTGTTATCAACAGTATCATTATTCTACATTAACATTTAGGATTAGAAATGTAAAAATTATTAAAATATTCCCATGAACATCAAATTAAGCCAAATCACTGCAAACACATTAAACCAGTAATTATGTCTAAAACCATTCATATGTTATTCCATTTATAAGTGTAAACCAGTATGTAGGTATAACATTTAAAAACTTGCCTATAAGATAAATGAAAATTTTTTTAACTTATTGCTCTTTCAAACAGAACAACTCCCAGATTTAGTTCCATTACTGTAAGCTATTATATTTATGCGTACAAGTTGAAATGTTCTGTTCTTTCAGAACTGCCAAATACCTGTATCTCAGAAAAATAAATATCAGCCCTACATCACAAAAAATCATAACTAAAGGATAAGAAAATGTCTTAATCCCTTCCTTCTTTGAATAAATAAAGTTGCATATAAATAATCACGATAAATTTTATGGCAGGTTTTGGCCTGTAATTGATTTTACCACCAAGTTATTAATCTGTTATAACCACACTAGAAAACTAAAAAAAAAAAGAGTTTTTGTCAGGAATGATGAAACAACTAAAACTGTAGTGGCACTGTGTGGTTCTAGCTAATATAGAACTCTAAATTAAAGCCAAAACACTTGCATTTTATAGTGGCTGAAGCAAGACATAGTGTGTTAGCTGGATGTTTAACTCCCAACTCTGATATTTAAATCAGATAGTTCTCATAAAAAAAAGGGTCAAGCTATTATTTATCTTTAGGTTACAAAGCATGAAGATAAAAGTTTAAGTGGTTTTGATAACAGAAAAATATTGTCATAAAAAGTTGACCTTTCCCATAAGGATATCATATTTTTCTGCTTTAGTGTTTCCAGTGCTCCGTAGAGAACAATACCAGAAGACACAAAACATTTCAAGCAAAATTAGAGGCTGGCTTCACATGTAATTCAAACCCCACAGTAAGGTACGACAGAACAATACATGAATGGTGTTATTATTTGCTATTTACAAAAGAAATATATTTCACAGAACCTGAAACAAATCCAAAAAAAAAAAAAAAAAACATGCATTTCAGCCAATAAAATTCTTCATTTAATCATCTTTAATAAAGAACATAAACGTTCATCCAGGTTTATAATTTAATTCTTAACAATGTACACTTGCACAAAGTAGAAGATACACCCAGTATCAGTAAATACATACCTGTTTAGCCATATTTTCTACAAATCTAGGTGATCTCTCTCTTAAAAATGTGACTATATCTTTATACACATCACTTTTTCTTTCATAGTCAAGCTCTTTACCCTTTAGCAGACCCTTAAAAAAAGAATACATTTTAAATTATTAATAGCTTTGCCCTACACAGGTAATTTAATCTGCATCACAAAGTAGTGCTAAAGCACAAAGGTCATACTGTAATGAATTAGGTACAGAAGTCTCATGCTCAGCAGAGTCCATCAAATTTCACCAGTGCTTTGTAAAGATGTATGGATCATCTCCATGGATCCCTACATATGACGAAGATCTCACATGGAATTTTGCAGGCAATTATCAGTCAATTGTACCGTCTGTAGTTCCACTGAAAAGAATTTACGGCTTACGGCAAACAACCAACTAAATATGAGCTTCCAGTGCAGCATGGCAGACGTCTAAACGGATCAGAAAATTATGTGACCTGATTGACTGCGCTTTACAAGCTTCATTTATTAATAATGTGCCAAGTCAAAACTCCCCTGGATTTTTTAACTCTTAGGAAATCAATTTGTGGAGTTATGCCTCACGGACATCAGTCTGTCTTCAAAATGAATGTAAGAGCTCTGGTCACTGCTTAGCACACATAAGGGGCTAATATGCCTAAATAAAACCCATCTGAAAGGAAAAAGGTAACCAAAATGAAAAGGAGAAGAGATAAATAATTTCTAAAAAGCTTCCACTGACAGGAGAAAGAACTGCTTTATCATTTATAAAAAGACAAAAGCAAGCTCTATTAGCCACACACAACAATATCACACTTCAGATCAAGAGCAATGAGGCACTAAAGAGGCATCGAGTCCCCCAGTACCTGTAAACAGGAACACAGTGAAGAACTGCTTGAGTACATTTAAAGGCCAATCAAACACTGTTAGGAAAGAGTGCAGAATACACTCCTGGTATAAAACTTTTTGAAAAAGCACTCAAAACACACTTATTACTGTGGCTTCTTTTCTGTACCAAAACATGAGCTCTGCAGGTCTTAGAGCCCCAATACCACTACCCCAAACCTGACTGAGATTTGATTTTAGCACAAAAAAGTGATTACTGCCTGGTATCCTTTATTATTACTTACCCCATTTAAAAACACTCCTGCTGTGTTGCAAGTGATATACAAAGGATCAGTGTCATGTGGTTTGATGACTAAATAACAAATGTCTCCATGCACTTGTCTCCAGGGAGGAGCTCGGCATCCATTAGCAAACACGTAATCTGTAACCAATTAGCATTAGTGTTTTTATCCTGTTTAAAAGTATTTTTTAATAGATATGCTTGATGATTAATGTAACACGTATACAAATAAAATCCCCAAACAATTTGTTACTCTTAAGAATTCATACTGTTAGGTATTAATTGTGCAAAACTCTGTGACCCTTGGTCCAATCCAACCAAGAACCACAACTGTGTTTAGCACTTTTCAGGATCAGGGAGTCAGTTCACTTCCTCTACTTCCACTGAAGATATTCACATAACTGGGACTCTATTTCTGTATGTAAAGGTTGAAGAACACCATTGCATGTCAGAAAATACTTTTTATTTTACTTCATAACTTTATAGTAGAAATAAACTCTTTAAATGTGTTACTGAAATTAATCCAAAAAATTTCGCACAGAAATCAAGTACTTTAATAACAATCTATGTAAACATGAGATATGATCTAGACCTGATGTATATTCCAGTGATTCCAGTACTGTGTCTTCTCCTTTCCCAGAGAAATTCTTGAGAAGACTCACTTCACTGTTTACAGCAGCTGGATTAAGTCTAACACCTCTGCAAATAATAGAAAATAGTTTAAAATGTATTCATCAAAAGGATGCACTCAGAGAAATGAAGAGAATATTGCACGATTTTTTTATTTTACATTGAGTCTTACTAGTAGCAACAAAAATATAAAAACGGGTCATCTTTCATAGTGTTTCTTAATTTTTTCTATAGTTCAGTGAAATTTTCATTCCATACCTAATACAAAGTCCTCGTAACTATGAAACAGACTCAGTGTAATACTTAATACAGTTCCATGAAGAAATAAACAGTTCCTTGAAAATATTTGACTGTAACTTTGCTGTTTGTACAAATGACTTCAATTTGCTAACAAAATGCAAAACATATGCAATAAAAAACCACACTTGTGGGCACACACTTGCATACCCACACCTACAGAAAAATCATCATGAAAAATTGTTTTTTTCAATAACTTAGTGAATAGTGAAAGTTATTTCCATAAATTTCTTTATATCACACCAAAAACACATGCTGTGGGTTGAAACCAATCTGATTTAACAATAAAACAAAAAAATGCACTGGCTGAGATGCTTAGCTTCCATTTGAAATGCACTTACTGTGAAATCTGTTTCAAAGAACTATTAAGCAGTTGCAAATCCAGCTGATGAAGAAGAAGAATGATTTTCATTTTCGTCTCTGTTTCAGGGTCATAACCTCTTTTCACTTTGTCAAATAAATGCAAGATGGACGTATCTTCTCCTTCAACAGTCGCATATTCAGGGCCAAGAATTTTCACTATAGGATCTCTGTTAGCTGTAAACATGAAACAGAATCATGTAATGTGCAACTATGCTTAAAATGATTGGATGAGACAAACACCTTTTGTTTCAATTGCTGCATGATTTTCATGCTATTAATTTACAGTAAGAACTTTATAATGTTCATATTTATTCATCAAACATTACTGTCTGATTTATTCTTTCATATCCCTCTAATGCAATTTTAAATGTACTTTTAAGAACAAGATAACACTAAGAATAAAAAGAAATTTTTCTTAACAAACCAATTGCTTTTTACAGCAAATATTAAGATCAATTCAACCAAGGGGTGAATATTAAATAGTTCCCTTTATCAACAGTCCCCTTTCCCAAAAATATGCCTGGCTGATTCCCAAAACAGGAAATCAATGGGCTTAACTCACTGAAAATTGATCATTTTGGAAATATGATTTAGTGTAAAGAACATCTTTAAGCTTTTCTAGCAGCATTCCCAATGGCCCCATTACTTCCTCAGCTATGCCAGCTGTTCTTTTTGGTAAACAGTGACATAACTACATGTCAATGTATTTTACAAATCCATTTTGCTCTGTTGCTGCAAATGAAGTCCCATGCATCTCTGAATGGCTCTGCATGATTCACTGGTCATATTATTCTTCCCCAGTATTCATGGTTAACCACTGTCAGTGACAGGGCCCTGGATCAGATGGATCTGAAGCTTGATCCAGTATACGCATCTATATTTTAGTACTGCAGATGCAATTTCTACTAATATCACAATAGAATATCACTGATCTCTTCTACTTCCAGGTAGGAGGAGGATATCCAGTTTAGCATATCAACAGTCTTCTTGTCAGTTTGAAAATCTAGGTCTTGAAGATGACACAGCAGAACTGCTCAGACCTATATTTTAAACCCATTGTAAGAAGGAAGAATCTGGAAATGTTCATTGTGAACCTTGTACAGGTAAGAATGTCTTAAACATATAATTTTTTCTTGGCCATTTTTTAGGAGTGTAATATTTTAAAGGAATATTAAACTACATATGTAGGACAAACTATTATTAGCCTCAAAGAAGACTTTTTTTTTCAGAAATTTAAACCTACTGTCATCGCTGGGAAATTGCTCAGTATACACAAATTTGTATATAAGATTCAACAACGTTATTTTAACTTTATTCCAGATTTCTCTGTTATTAATTTCTGTGTAAACAAAACAAGAAATAGAAACTTCATTAAGGTCTGGATCAGCACCTTTATCCACCTTCATGAATTAGTACCTTCTCACATACTTAAAATGAAGGCATATATTTCTTTCTGCACATTTCACAAATTGCTGAAAACATTTTAAGAAAGAGGAAAGACTTAAAAAAAAAAAAAAAGAAAAGAAACCTTCGAGGCATGCTTGTGTTTCCTTTAACTTTTTTTCCATAGCAATTTGTAGCAAACGGGACAGCTGGTCAAAACTGCGAACTCTGAGAGTTGATGCCGAGAGAAGAAGCAATGGCTGGCCATCTCTGCTTGTGGCTTCAGACTGAACAGCTGCTTCACTAGAAGAATTAAATTATATCTTTCTAAAATAATAACTTTAATTGAGAAGAATCTTAAATGTTATTCGAGTTTTACATGATAAAGCATATACAATTTCTTTAAACAATACTTTTAAAAAACTTCCAAGGTAAACCAATTCATTCATTGCAAATCAGCAGGTGGATAGGCCCAAAGGAAGCTGTGACCCCATGGGAAGCCTGTACTAGAACAGGCTCCTGGCAGGACCTGTGGACCCACAGAGGGAGAAGCCTATGCTGGAGCAGGTTTGCTGGCACAATGTGTGACCCTATGGGAGACCCATGCTGGAGCAGAGGGTGTCTGAAGGACTGCACCGCATGAAAGGGATCCTTGCTGGAGCAGGTCATGAAGACCTGCAGCCCGTGGGAAGGACTCATGTTGCAGAAGTTTGGGAAGGACTGTTCTGTGGGGGGGACCCCAGACTGGAGCAGGGGAAGAAGGAAGGAGCATCAGGGAAAAATGTGTAATGAACTGATCGCAATCCTTATCCCCCATCCCCCTGTGCCACTCAGGAATGAGGAGATAGAGAAAATTAGAAGTGAGGTTGAGCTTGAGAACAGGTAGGTGTGGGAGGAAGAGGGAAGGTTTTATTTCTCATTATCCTACTCTGACTTTTAATTGGTAGTAAATTTAATTTCCGCGAGTCAAGTCCGGTTTGCCAAAGACAGTGACTGGTGAGTGATCTCTCCCCATCCTTATCTCAACCCATGAGCCTTTTGTTGTTTCTTTCTCCCCTGTCTAGTGTAGAAGAGGGAGTGACAGAGCAGCTTGCTGGGCACCTGGCAACCAAACAAGGGCAACTCAGCACATGGGAGTCACTCCTAACACAAAGATGGTTAATCACAGTTAGACATATGTTGTGACAAGTCTTAGGAATAGACAGTTCAAGTTTTAAGAATCACTAACTTACCAGGTCTGCATCACAAGTGAGACAGAATAGTCTCAAACTCAAAAAGAAACGCTTCAAATTTTAGCTCAAAATTTTCAATATACATCAATAAAAATCTCACCCATAGCCACTAAGGCTTGCTTTATGCTAAGTGAGCACAATTTTGCTTCATAGTTCACCTTCTGCATTTGAAAACACACTGCAATTCACTTACTTGATCACATAACCCTTTCCAAATACTGAAGAGTCCAACTGAGTTTTCCACTCAAGGGGCTCTCTGAAGACAAACGCTGCTTCCTCGGGATGTTTAGTGCTGAATTCCTCTGCAAACTTAATAATCTGATTTAAAAGAGATTCGTTCAAAGGGGTGATTTCGAGCGTGCCGGTTCCAGAGCCAGCAGCAGTCCACTGAGCCGCCCTCTCCAATGCCGCTCCCATGGTCTTGGACACTTATCACAGGAGTCCACCTTGGCAAAGAGACACCACCAGAGAATGGCAAAACTGAGCTCTCAAATGGTAAATGCCGCTGTAATTTGAAACAAACATATCCAGTAATTATTAGATTCATTTAACTCGTTAAAATCCCCGAAGTGGGGAAGGGGGACTTGAAGAAGCCAACTCGCAAATTTTAAAGAAATAGGGAAGTCAGGTGCAAGCCCAGTTTATTTCACCTTAATTAATTCCGGGTGCTATGGAAATGCTGGGAGCAGAGAGCAGAAGGCCCCTGTTGAGGCTGTAACAAAAGGTTTCCCCCCCGTTAAAACCCCCTGTGCAGGCAGACAGACCCAAGCCCACCATGACCCCCCGGCACTGTCTCTGAACGGCGGAAAGGAGGGTGTGGGACCACCCCGACCAGCCTGGAGAGCCCGAGGGCCGCCGCAGTGCCCGGGCCTGGGGCCGCCTCGGTCCTGAGGGGAGCCCAGGGCAAGTGCTGGGTATGGAGCGGGAGGGAGCAGGGAGCCCGGAGCCGGGAGCCCGGGGGTCGCACGGAGCCCGCCCGAGGTCGCCCCTCACCTCGGCCCGGGCGGACGTGGCCGCGCCCCGCCATGGCCGGCGGCGTTGCCGTGGGGACGGGCCGGCGTCACCGGGACAGCGGCAAGAGCCGCGGCCCCGGCGGACGTTCCCTCTCGGACGGGAAGAGGAGCAGTATTTAAAATAATAAAGCAGGCTTATATGGTTTTTTGGTGCGGAATTAAATAATGTAGTAACTAGAGTTACTTCGCACCAGAGGTTAAAGGGAGACCACCGACTGGTTTTTAGCTTGAATTTTAGCCTGGACAGCTCAAACCTTTCACTCGCTGTCAGCTGTTGAGAGAAAACAGCTTTAATTAATAATGTTTAAGATCGACCACTTTTAGTTCTTGAGGCAGTATGGCAGATTATGCTTGAAATCCTTTTTGTTAAAGGAAATGTAATGTGAAATTATTGTTTCTTGAAAGAAGTAAAGGAAGTAGGTATGGGCAGAAGCAAGGAATAAAGTCCTTTCACGTACTCTGTACTACACAACACTATACACATGCAAATAGAAAGCTCCAAACACAGAATGGAAATTAATACTATTCCCCTAATTCCATTATAGATCCATATATTGTTGAATGAGCCATCGCTCTGGATAAATTTTTAGGTTATAAAGTTTTTACTGTGCTCATCTCATCACGTACTGTCTCATCTTTTGTGCTACTGAGCAGATTAGAACGATATTCTGGGACTTCCCTTTCCACTCCAGTTCTGTTATTTGGGCCCGTCAAAATGCCTACGAAATGATAAAAATTGGACTTGAGATTTGGACTAGGAAGGAATGATTACCTGCTGTACAGTGACTGAAGTTAGGAAGCTATGGTCAGCTTTCCAGTATGTATGTCCTTCTGAAGGCAGTATGTGTCTCCTTTGAGGACAGTCGAGCAGAAATACCCAGCTTCCAACACCACAGAGTTAACACAGCCAAGACTTGTTGTACCAACTCAGAACTCAGACGGGTAAGAAACCTCTAATAATGAGGAAGGTCATGGAGTATATGTGGAGTGTACCTTGAAGAATAACAGGGTGGAATTAATACACTTCTTTCACAGAGGTGATTGTCCATATACATTTTACTTACTGAAACTTTCAAGCAGTAACTATGGATAAGTACACGCAGTCTGCACAGTAATGACTTAAGAATAGCATTAGCTGTTCTTGTTTCACTGCATAACTTAGAGAAGATTGAAAATGAATCATTTGATTAGGTGAAACTGAGAGAGCATTTTTAGTAAAAAGCCTGGGTAAAGACTTAATGCAATTTCTTTTCTGTGTGGAATACTGTGTATGAATACATTTCCAGAGTAGATTAAATCTCTTCTTTTTACTGAAGCAATGACTATTAAAAAGTTGATTTTGATGGGCAGAAGGTTCAAGCAGCAAAATGTGAAAGGGAGTAAAAGTATCCCCACCATGGGTGGCGAGGAGTGAAGACAGTGAGTTTTCACACAGAGCTGAGTATTTTAAGCAAGAAGTCGGTGGAGTAAGAAATAGAATTCCTAAATGAGATCACTCTGTTCCACTGAAGAGCAAGAAGAAAAGATATTTCAGTGACAAAGACAAATGGGATGATTTGCCCTCAAAGACTATGCATCTCCACTGGCTATAAAAGGAGCTTTGGTAACTTGCTCAGGCTTAGTTACCAGTGGAACTTCCTGTGGGGACAGATAAGTGAAAAAATTAAAAAGCAGAACAGATCGTGCAAGGCAGTGGTGAGGAATGCTGCTGGGATCTGGTATAAGAAGTTAAGGCCTATGGATGCTCTGGAGTCAGAGATGCTTTTCTGTCTTTTTTTTTTTTTTTTTTTGTAACTGGCAAGTGCAGAGTTCATAGCACAGCAGCACTCCCAGGAAGACTGCTCTAACTCTTCTGAAGACTAGAAACCACCTGATTTAATTTATAACCTCAGTTTGTGTGACTAGTTTACGTGTATTCGTTTTGTACGAATGTTGGTCCTTTTCCTTGTTTTCAACACCTACTTTCCTCCATAGATTTTACACCCAGTTTCTGAGTTAGAATATTTTCTCTCAGACTTCACTTTGCTAGGCTCAACCAGTTCAGTTCCTCTAGACACAGCCTACAAGTTCTTCATGTCCTTACCATATTAGTATCTCTTATTTGCTTATGTTCCAGTCTGAGCCTTTTTTTCTTAAATAGATTCAATGCTATTTCTAAGGTCATTTCACTGGGACCTATTACAGTGGCATTAATAGTCTTCATCTCTTTTGGAAGTTCCTCAACTACTACATTCTAGGATTGCATTTGGTTTTCACATTTGGGATTGTTGTCACTTTGCAATTGAATAATACAACCAACTTTTAATCTATCACTTTTATTTTCAGCTGATGAGTTTGTAGCTTTCTGCAGAATTTCAGCATATAATATTGCCATCTGCCCTTATAAAATCAAGTTCCATTTCTAAACAAAGAAATATTTATAGCCTGCAGTCTCTATCTTTTGGTTCCCATCCTCTTCCTCTTTCCAAAGTAAGTTTTGAATCCGATAGAAAATTTGAATCATATTTTACAGGGAGTTCTGATCTTGGAAATAATTAAGTGATATGAACAAGTTCTGTTCCTGCTTATTGTGTCTGTGCTCTGTAGTTTTTTGCACATTTTCAGACGCGTATCAGCTGTAACAAGTCATTACTGCAGTTATTGCATTGGTATTTCAGCTCTGGGTGATTCCCTTGGTTACATTCAAGCATATCATGCTGGATGACAGGGAATATTGCCTTCTTACATCAGCTATCACTAAAAAATAAACACTTAGGGACTCCCTCACTTAGCTAGACTGAAGGAGATTTCATACCACTTCTTGCTTTTTTTGATTGATCAGTGCTATTAATACATCCTAGCACAATAGTGTAAAGGGATATATTGGAAAAAAATTTTGCCTGAAAGCTAAAGCGTTAAGTAATCATTTAAAGAAATATGAAAGTATTCTCTTGATAGCTCAAAATCAGCATGCAAAAAATTCCAGGCAATAAAGCTATAACGTGTCCTCAAAAGCAGCTTACTCAGGAACTGGGTCTGCCCAGAGATGGCATATGCACCATGTTTGGCTAATTCCATAAACCAGTATTAGTACATTTTTGTAATAGTGACTTTCTGCTCTAAGTTATTTTTACATTTTTAGTGTAAAAGACATTTTAAAAACAGTAGGTGAGATGTTTGCCTGATCATAGTCAAAGATGAGATCATTTGTTACTGGCACAAAGAAATGGGGAATATGAAGAATTTGTTAGCATGGAGAGTAAGGCAATTGGAAATTTTTTTACAATCTCGAAATTGCAGCCAGAATGTGTAAGCAATTTTTCATGTATATTTTTCCTCACATTATTGTAGAATAGGGAGTAAATTATTACTGCCAAAGCAGAACAGTAATATGCATTGTAAAAAAAATTGTAGAGGCTTACACAAAATAAAAAAGGCATATAATACCAGCTACTCCTTCTGTTAAATAACAGTTTAGCTGATCAGCTTCATGGTCAGTTTGTCAGACAAGTTGAAAATCAGGAGAAAACAATATAATATTTGTCAGTTTCCTTTTATTGTTCATTAGCTTGCTTTTGTTGCAAAATTTACATATTTTGTTGTTCATAAAACAAACTAAAGTCTTACTGTTTTGGTGAAAAGGGCTTAGCAAGAGAAATTAAAAAAAAAAATCCATTTGTACTGCTTTTATTTCCTTTTGTTTTAGTACAAATGCACCATTTAGATGCCTGGAGTTGTTAACAAGCATTTTTATGCATCTTAAATTCTTGTAATCTATTGTTGTTTGTTGTATTGATGTTTGGGTTTTTTTAATTGGGTAGTAGTGCTTTGTGGAAAGGCAGGGTTTCAGCTCAAAAGGTGACATACATGAGAATGTAAAAAGAGGGAGAGGACATGAATCTGTTGATGTCTTTCTTTCTTCTCTTTTTCACCTAGTCTCTGATTTCTGTGTTGTGATCTTCTACTTACATCTTGTTTTCTGAGTAATTATGTGCTTCAAAAAATGCCAACTTAACTGCAGTTAGGATTTTTACGGATTGGACATTGTGCAATTCACTGTCTTGGCCCTAGAAATTAAAAAACAGAAAAGACCATTTTTCAAATGGAACTCAATGCAAGGGGCAAAGAGGCATGCAAGGGCACATGGATGGCTGGCAAAGAGACAATTACTTCAAAAATCTTCAAGGAAAATAAAGCAGGACAGTATTTTGGTTAGTAAGTGATAAATTAACAATATCTGCACAGTTATTTTCTGAACAATGACAAAACCAGAGATATGCTGCTCTTTTTTAGAAATGGCTTCCAGATGGGATTCATGTTTTACAGTCCAAGATTGAATGTGATTTAATAAGTTTCTATCAGTAAAGAACATAATATTTCAGAATATGAACTGTGTTACTAGACTGTGCTTCCCTCTGTTTGTAGATGGCAAATTATTCCCTTTTGTTCATTTCTGTTTGCTACTGCCTAGGACTTTTGAATATTTTTCAGTATAATTTGAAAGAAATAATCAGTCTGGTGTAATAACCAGAGGACTGTAACTATGTCACAATACTATTTGAAGTACTAGTTTACAAGACTGTGATTTTGAAAGACTCAGTAAATTAATTGAACAAGATACAGGGCAGGTTATCAGGGGTCTTAAGATGGTGAGATATCTTTTCAGAGGCTGTTTTTCCTGGGTTTGTAATACTTTAGTGGGGAATAATTACATTTGAAGATTTTTCCTTTTAATTCCTACATTATCTTTTTTGCATCTTAAACCTCAATTCCCTCTTCATGTAATATTTTGTCTTGAAATTTCTGCAATGAAAATATGTGTGTATAATAACCCCAAAAGAAAAAGCTTTTGAGAAAGATATTCTGAAGTAGAGTTATCTAAGTATGTAAAAATTTTTTGAATTGTTTTAAAATCTTGACTTTTACAGGAGGAGTCACCAAAGTATTGACTCCATGAGTCACTTTAATTTCTTTGTGTAGCAATACAACTCCTTGCACAGAGAAAGGATTAATGGCTAATTTTCTTTATTTTTCCAATTGACTCTTCCCTGCATAAAAATTTTGTTTGTATTTTTCTAAGGAGAGAGAATATCTGTGCATTTTGATGTTTATATAAAATGCTTTTTCTAGAACTAGTCAATTGTTCTGACTTTAATAGTATAGCAATTCAGTATTAATGGAAACTACATAATGTCTTTTAAAACTTGCTCCTTGGTTAGCTGAATTGTTTGTATGAGTGGATTATAACTACAAGGTTAGTACAGTTTCTGTAAAGAAATCAGAAAGATATGGAAGCCTTTTAAGGCTTCTATGTAAATAAACAAAACAAACCAAAATAAACCCAACAATATTTATTCAAAATAGTGTGTGCCAAGTGGAATGGACACAGTCATAACTTGGCAAATTAGAACACCTTACTCTAAATTAGGTATATCCAGAAACACTTTGCATCTTTGCAATTTAGAAAAGAATTTGACTTTGTGGCCAATAAAACAAAAAATGGAGAGTTATTTTAAAATGTAGGCAGAAAATTGCCAGCTGCACTTCTTAATTATGTGTTTAGCCTTATTTGAAATAACTCAATATTAAAAGCAATGCTGCAGACAGTGTGTCTTGCGCTGTATTGAAGACAGTGTTTTTAGCTTTCAAACATAAACCTTTTGCAAGTGAATGCTACTGACGTGCCCAAATGCCTTTTGCTTTCTTAGTAGTTTCTAAAAATTACCTCCTTTTTCAAGTGGAAAAAGGGAGAAAAGATTGGCCTGTTTGTTTTGTGGTGGGAGTGTGAAAAGGAGATTGTTTTAAAATTAGAATTAGAATGTCGTAAGTAGTCTCCAGTTATGGATTTCTTTTCCTAGAGGAAAAATGAGAGGTATTGGTGGAAAGTATTTTGGACTGTAATGTCCAGTATTAGTCAGGAGAGAGGGTTTGACTGTTTCATGACGAACAGATTCTTGCACGAGGTGCTGACACAGACACGCAAAAGACACTATATAGCTAGAGAGAAGGTTAAAATACTTCTCAGGTATTCAGCTACCAGTTATTACTGTAGTAGCCCCATTTCACTCCTTAGGTAATCACCAGCAGTAATTCTGGATAATTCCCTCCTTAGTTTTTACAAAACTAACATAAAAATATTTAAAAAAATTGTATCGTTTTTCCCCTGTTATATAATCAGAAAGAAAGCCAAGACTGACATCAGTGCGTCTTCTCTTCTTTGTAGGTCATTTCAAGGCAGAAATTCAAGCACCTTGGAGCAATCACTGGTTTTGAAGAGACTGCTTCTATCATTTATGGTGGTACGGTAATATTATATGGGAAAATGTGAAATGGTGAGAGGAGTAGAGATCAGAATACAGCCAAATCACTACAGGGTTTGAGCAGCAATTGGCTGTAAAATTAATACGGAGCAACAGTTGGATGTTGCAAGGTTGAGCATTAATCCAGTGCCTGGTAAAAAAATAATGTATTTATCTAAATTTCTGCTTTGTAGTGATTGTACTGTGCGAGCTATTAAACAAAACAAAATAAAAACCAACACTAAGTCCATAGAATATGTTTGATGAATCTGACATCTTCACTCAACTTGGATGAAAATAAGTCCTTCGTGGATGAGAACAAGGATTATAGCTCCATTCCAAATCCTTTTACGGTAGAACTTCAATCTGGGGAGGAAAGTTGCCTTTTTATCAAAATTATTTTTATTGAGAGAAGCAGAAATGTGTGTTGCATATACATGTCTTCTTGCATAGTGTACATTCTGATACAGTTAATTCAGCCAATTTTCTGGTATTGTTCTCAAGATCTGTGCCATGGATATTAGAGTCCTCCATATGGGTACATTTTTCCTCTAATTTTTTCCGCTTCTTTTTCTGGTAATAGCTGTATACATTCAAGCATTTTAGTTTAAATTTAGAATCATCAAGGTTGTTCTAGAGGATCTGAAGTTCTGCCACAGTTAGATAGTTATTTTACTGTAGAAGGAGTTGCAGGTAGCTCCTACGTCTTTATTTTTTAGCTCAAGCAGAGATAGAGATTAAAACTATCTATTTTTAAAAATTCTCGATTATTTTCCCACCTAATTTATGCATAAATTAATATTTCAGCTTATTGCAGTAGCTGTTGATTTTCAGCATGCCTTCAACTCTGAATGTAAAATTTGGGGGCTGAAGCAGGCCACTTTTTCAAAATGCATCCTTATGTGCTCTGTTTAGATTTGGGAAGAATAACACTGAATTGTTTGAATGTTATTGTTTCCTGGAATATCAAGTTAGCATCTGTTGCTTTGGTATTGAAAAGGTTGCTGATTTTGATGCCAAAAGACTCTATTACTAAGTAGTTTGAAATAATTTCTGAGATATGAAAGGAGATTCTATCCCTAGTGGAAAATTGTACATGGCAAACAAGTATCTGCTCCCTTTGTCATTGACGGATTTCTGTCATTGATTTCATGGGAGGAAAAATTTGGTCTATCAACAATACTGTCAGACAGCAGGCAGTTAAACCCTAATTTTTCCCAGACTCTTTCAAAAATTGTAGGACCTGTGGCATTGTAAAACATAGTTCAGTTATATTAATGACATTTTTCTTCTAAGATTTCAATGTGAAAGCTTAGTGATTTGTTCAGATTTTGGTAAAGCCATTCATGCTGGAAATAAGGATGCCATGGGTCAGAAGCAATTAGGCTTAAGAGTCTGAAAAAATCTACTACCAATTAGCAGTTTGCCACTGCTGTCAAGTAAATATAAGCATATTTGATCATGGTAAGCCCAAACTGATATGTTTTAGTGATTCATTTATAATGGTATTGTAGTCTTTGATGTTCTGTTTCAGTAATACCACTAAATTTTAAGCAGTGACATTCAAGAATTAAAAATGTTCTGTGCCATTAAAGTGAATAAGTATAGAATAAAATCTGAGGATCTGAATCTGCACATTTTTATGCAAAGAGTCCTTTGCTATAGTGCGCAGTATGTACGGTATGGAAATCGATGCCAAAGCTGGCCCATGGACTGGGAGCAGGGTAGCCTGTTTGTGCACTGCTTTGCCAAAGCTAATTTACTTTGCTAAAAACCAGGGTAAATTAGACAGTATGCAGCATTAAGCAATGTGGTTAAACTGCTTCCAGTCACCAAGCTGGCTCCTTTGGAGCTGCTCTGGCTCTCTCTCTGCAGCTCAGTGTTGTGCAGCACGGACATGCCCTGACTAAAATTGATGTGTGTGAAATTTTATTCATGTAAGGAAGGGCTGGTGAATCATACCCATCCTCTCTTCTGCAGAAATTCTGTCCTCAGATACAGGCAGAATGTACAACTAAGCATGTTTTCAAATAACTACAATATAACTGTCATTGCATTTGACCTCAGTAATGTGATTCTCTGAGTAAACACAGACAGGCACCACAACTGATTATAATTAAATGTAAGTAGCTAAGCACAGATCTGTGGTATAAATAGATGTGTTACAGCTGACAGTTAAAGTTTGAGTTCAGTTTTCGCGTGAGCCTTTGCATTACTCATGTAAATCAATGTTCTCACTTACAAGAGAAACCTCATAATTTACCACTACCCATAAAGTAGCCTCGCTGTAATCAATAGTGATTCCTATATGGAATTACTGTGCAGAGCAGCGTTTCTTCCATCCATATCCTCAGTACGATTACTGTATGGTTTGGCACCACGACAGAAAAATATCCAGTGAGCTCAGTAGTTTTCTGTGTGGAAGGACTTAGTTGTCCTAATTTGGTACAAAAATTCCATTCAGTTTAAAGTAAGCAAAAGTGGGATTAAATACTCCACATGGGGAAGGATTGAGTATAATCTTTGGGGGGGGGAGGAATGGTTTGCAATCTCACGGTATTGAGACATTACAATTAAATTCAGGTCAGCTTTCTTTCTATGTAGAAGTAGAATACAGTAATTAGAAATACTTGGTGTTTTCTGCCATATTGATAACAGTAAAGGATGATCTGGTGATTTTTTTCATCTCTGTTTCTGCATTTGAGACTGAGAGCAAACCATATTCAAGTGACTCTCAAAATATTTTACAGTCTTCTGATCCTGTGAGCTTGCTGCACTGCACACACAGACATGCTGTGCTCAGCTCTTCAGTCCACCAAACAGGAATGACAAGTGCAGAGGGGCTTCTGAACTCCTCCACTCCTCTTGGGAGCCTGGGGGTGGCCGTGCAGGTGCAGGGCTCTGAGCCACTCTCCCAGGGCACCTCATGGAGCCACAATCAGTGTTCAGTGGGATTTCCTTCTATAAAACAGGCTGAAGCTTTGAACAGCAAGGTAGGGACTTAGAAGCATGCAGGAACCCGAGTCCTCTGTAACTCACCACTCCACTAGACAACTCCACAAGTTCATGGGCAACTGCCAAGTACCCACGAGCCCAGGACATGAGTGAGATCCATCCTGGAAGCAGCCAGTGACGTCAGTAAGTGGTAGGTGTGCTCTGGGCACCTGGATTGAAGCGATCTCCTGAGGGAACTGAGTCCAGACTTGTCTTTTAGTGGGGTTAAAAGAAGCTGTAGCTGGAAGCTGAGAGTTTAATGTACTCACGGAAACCTCAGCTTTGGCACTTAGCAGACTGACAGGACCAAAACAATGGAGCCAAGTGAATTCAGATTTTACAGTCAGTAAAGCAGAGGTTTTATGAATTACTTTTGTGCATTTGGATTGTCTGAATTCTACTTTTGGTGCCATGTGTGCATCCTGAGTGTATGGCTCTGTGTCCCAACAGAAAAAATAGGTTACATCTCAAATAAGCAAAATTTAGAAAATAAATGGGTTTCTGTGTTAGTATGTGTTTGTGATTCCTAAAGTTAAAAACATTCCTCTACTTTTCTAGTCACCTGTGTAACTAACACCTCTGGTGGAATGGAGCATACCTCTTCTAGTTACATAAAATAGACACTTCCAAATGTAATGTTCTTAAAAGCTGTGATTGACTAAGGGGGGAATAGAAGAGTTTTCTATTAATTATGATGAGCATGCAAAATAAATAGCACTCTCAAAAAAAAAAATAGTAATACTCCCTGGCACTGGATTACAGCATCAACGAGTGTCGGTATTTAAGACAAAACTATATTATATAAATCTGTGATCTGCTTTTCTGTTCTCATTTTCCATTTCTTTTATTAAAGAGACTTATTTTTGACTTTGCCCATCTTGATATAAGGATAGCTTACATACAAAATGCTATACACATTTTCATGGAATTTGTGATTTTTAAGATATACTTTACACAAACAGTCATGTTTTATTTTGTGAGTAAGCAGAAGATTAACTCTTCACTTCAAGAAGTATCTTCCCCTGAAGTGTCTTACATGTCTTTTTCAACTTTTGCCAACAGAACAGTGTAGTATTTTTAAAGTGTTATCTTTTTCTCTATGATTAAGCTTATATTTCCCACCTTAAGACTATGGGAAAACACACAGAGGCTATTGAATCTCTAACTTTGCATATAGTCAGTAAAAACATACATGTACTCACAATATTACTTTAATAGGAAGTTCTTCAGTGACTGGTCAACGATACAATAATATCTCCATTTAAAAAGATAAAGTAGCAAAACAAATGAAGGACAGACAAATGCTAAACAGCAATTTTACTCCTTCTCAGCTTAGCAGACCTATCTTAAACTCAGCAACTGTTCACAAATATTACATTTGTATTTAACTAGAACTTTGCTGTTCCTATTTTAGGTACAAGAAAGGACAAGTTTAAGAAGGACAATCCCCTTCAAGCTGTTCTTTAGCCATATAAATTGAACTCACGAAGATTTATCTGTGTAATCCCTGCCTCCACTTTGCTTGCCTGCCTCATTGGGATGCAGGGTGCCTGGTTTCTCAGTGTTCATCACAGCACAGCTCCCACTGCCTACAGTTTGCAGTGGCAAGTGCTCAACACTTCTACAAATTACACTCCTCCATACCAAGCACCTCCAGAAACACAGTTAACAACCACATGTGCAAAGTGACTCTTATCACACAGGAAATCTGTGGCAAAGGCAGGGATACGATTCAGTTCCCCAGGGCTGCACTCATGCCTTAATCGTGAAAACATTGTTTCCTTCTCTACAGTTGTCTGCTTCACTCACTGTGTCCTTAAAACGGCTGCAACAAAGTACAGATTGCACAGAGGTTTTACTGTGCAGTGATTCATCCTCCAGCGCAGGTCCTTTCTGTGCGCTAAATAACACAGAGGAGCCACGGAAAACTCTCTCTGCCCAAAGGAATTACATGCAGTTCCCTCTGCCTCACCACTCACATAATCCACCAGAGTCCTTGTACTTTTGTCTGCCTCTTCTACCACCAAGAGAGTTGGGTGCATGGGAGTGATGGGATTCCTGATCCAATTCCTGTGCTTAATCAGGCCCGACTGCAGCAGCAGCGAGCGGCAGGATCAGGGGAAAATGTTTTGAACGCCAGTAGCCCCAGGGCTGGAGTGTGCCCAGATGTTTTATGGAATGGCTCTGGCAGACCAGTCACACACAGGTGTTTATTGGCTTGAAGTAAAAGTCAGGAATACCAAGAATAATTCATCCGCCACTTGGCTCTTCAAACAGAACAGGAACGAGCACAACGTGCAAATCTAAATGGCAGATAACAGCAGCTCTTAGCTAACACACACACTTTACCCACGGAGCTGCTTGCCTGATGAACTTTTTATTTTCCTGGAATGAACTCATTTGAGTTATGAAAACTGATTATGCATATTGTTACAGGCATGCAGCCAAGCAACCGTACAACTTGCTTTTTCATTAATATCTGTCATTTTTAGGAACAAAACATGCTGCTGCTAACTGCAAGTATAAATCTACTTCTTAGAAATATGATTTGCAGTTTACTTTCTCTTTACATTTAAAAGCTATTTAAAAGCAAAATAAATCTAGCTGGATCAAAAGTAGCATTGTGTGCTTAGATTAAATATACTAATTTTCACACTAAAATTACTTTACGGAGCAAAGACTTGCTATATGTGGCAAATCAAAGGAGAAATGTAAGAAACTATTCCAAAGAGGTTTGTTACTCTGCATGGCAAAAGCTGTGCACAGCCTCTCCGTGACCTGACTTCGCACAATTTATTGGTCATCTTTAATAAAGCGAAATCCAAGCACCTTTTCTGTTTCGTTACTTCCATTTTAGCACTTGCAGTAGCAGACAGACAGACAAAGTTTAGTTTTAGCCTGGGAGCTAAAAGAAATACTTCTAACATACATATGTACTGTTACAGTCTGACTTATAAATGCTCAGTAGTAAAGTCAGCAGGAATTGAGCACTAAAACTGGAGAAGAGTAAATGGAAAGAGATCCTGCTGTATTTGCAGACTCAAATAATAAGGAGAGCGCTCCCGACTGCTCTTGGAAACTTGTCATGTAAGTGAGTAAGGGGAGAGGTCAGACAGTGACAGACTGCTCTTCCAGCCTGAAATGGGGGGTTGCACCAAATCTAAAAAACCAAAACCAGTTTGAAACATGCATTTAACTAAAAATTAATGTTATTAAAGCAAATTATACCCATCATTTAGAAATGTAGTCTGAAAGTACCGTAACTCCTGGCTTCTCTTCAGATGATGTCTGGCAGCATGCTATGTATTATCCACAAAGTATCTTCCAGAATCCCCAGCACCCTGGCTTCAGGAGACACTCTGAATCTCACTAAATTCTGATGATTCTGATGTCATTTTCTAAGCTTAAAATATTCTTGCAAGTGACATCAATCATGACTCAACCGGGCCTTTCCTGCCACATATGACAAAGGCTCCTATTTTTAAACTTCCAGACAAACACAACCTGTATAATTTTTTTTTTTTTGCCAAAAATATGTCAGTTCCAATCTCACTATTCTGAGCATATTCTGTTCTTTTGGGATACTTGTCAGCTGGCCTATTTGTATCAGGTTTATAAGAAATTAAATGTTTTTCAAGAAGCAAAATAACAGACTTGGAGAACAGAGCTTCCACCTTGCATTATTCATAGAATTTGTGAAAATCTGTGGTTCTGTTGTCAAGAAGCACAGAGACTAATTGCACAGAGCCAACAATTCACTCAGTGTGGTGGTTAAAATGGATAAAAATGATTAGTATTAGTCCTTGCAGTCTCTTGGAAATGTCAAATACTGTCTTGACATTCTAAAACCCAGGCTGTACAGCAAAAGTGGGAGAGTACCATTTCGTATTAATTTAAAAATATGTAAAACTGATTGTCCCCTTCTAGCACTCAGTATTTGCTTCCTGGAGACCCGAGATGCTGATTGTAACTGGCTACACTCTTCCAACTCATCATGGCTCTCATTTGTCTTCCAGCAGAGTGGTGAAAGTTTTACTTCCTACGTAGAAAGATATTTACTTCCTATGTAAAAAAATATTTACAGAGATTCCCCACAACCAGTTTTCCCACTTGGAGTAAGCTGTAAGTGTTCATCTCCCATTTCCCATGCATGGCAGGCTTGCCATTCCCATGAACTAGCTGTTCCTCTTGTGCAAATCCCTAGCCCATGCATGTATCTCCATGCATTTCTGTATTGTCACTTCAGGTTCATACTGTTCACTTTAATCACCTTGCAGAGTTCAAAGGACACCTGGACATATTCTCATCTCTAGTCTCTAAAACATTCACCAAAAGTTCCAGGATAAAGGATTTATCGTATTTCTTTGTTTCACAACGTTTATGTCCTTACCATACATCTGTTAGACTCTACTTTTTTTACTCTGCTTTTAGTAGAATGATGCACAGGTGTAATTGAACTGACAAAAGTGTTAATATTTTTCTAGAACAGATCACTTATATTTAGTACAACTGACATTTTACTCATTGTTCTTGTTAGTACCCACATTTATTCTAAAAGAATTGTGAAATGAAATAATCAAAAGAGGTACCAGCTGCATAAGTCTTCTGAAGCCTCTGTCTGAGTCTGTCTTAGACATTACAAAAACATGCAAGAAGGCTTAGAGATAGTCTAAAAAAAAAAAAAGAATAGAAAAGGAATATCCAGGTGGCTTTTAAACTGCGGAATACAATAAAGTAGAGTTTGGAAAGTATTACACAGAAATATAGTAACAAAAAAACCCAAGATACACCGTTTACAAGTTGAAATATATAGTGCCTTTGCGTGAGCCGAGATCAGTAAAGCAGACAGAGCTCGCCCTACAGGGTTTGAGAACTGCGTGACAGCTCCGAGTTTACAAACGTGTGACTCGCAGCTTGCAGGAGTGCTGAGCAACACTAGAAAATCTTTTAAGGCTTAAGGTTAATGAAGGTTAATTATTCTGAAACACTGTTTTGTAGATTTCAGTAATAATTACCTAAAGTGACAGCAATGAATTGCTGCCTCCATTTTAAGAGCACTTGGGAAATTACTTAAAAGTGTGTGAGAAGATTTATCAGGAACACACCGTAGGTGTAAAAGAAAGGAAGCCCTGGAAGGACAGCTAAGCAGCAAAGGGCAGGGCCATCTAATGCCATCCTACAATTGCCATTAAATAATTCAGACAAAAAGTCAATAGATTTATCAGCCACACATATTTACTACCATGTGTTTGACAGGACTTTGAGGCGTTTGCATTGAAATTCGCTCCCAGATTCTAATCTCAGATATTAATCCAAAGATAATAACCAGATGGCTCTCACACGTTTGATTACTTGCCGAAATATTTATCATCTTTGCTGATTGCATCTTATCTTAAAGCCAGACCCTGAGCTCAGAGAAGTCATCAGCTTGGTTCCGGGGTAAGAGCTGCCAACCCCATTGTGAGGAGTGTTACAGAAGTCAAGACCACACATGAAACGAGGCACTAAAGTTCAACAGTAAAAGTTGAACAGCAAGACCTGGCATTAGATTACAAGGTCTTCAGAGCAAAGGCATTCCTGATTTCCCAGGCACAGAAAGACAAGAGGTAAAACTCTGATACTGTTAAAATAAAAATGAAACTTTTCTAACTTCACTAGCACTGCGTGTTTATCCACTACCATCTCATCTGTGCCACAGAAACTGCAGGAACAGTCCTGAGTGCTGAAGTGGTACAGATAAAAGTCATTTGAGGCTAACTATAGGAGGAGTTCCTACTATCGCTCATTTAGGGGTTGAAGTGGTGTCAGCTCTCTGCTGATATTTCACCCTTGTCCCATACACATGATACAGAAAGCAGCAGCAGCCATTAGGTGCTCACAGTGAAGCAATCCAGGCTAAGCACTTTCCAATAGCACAAAATGAGGCAATTTACCAGGAAGAGAGGGAGTTGCATTAGCATGAAAAAATTCTAAGTTATTCACAAGATGCTAAAAGAGAAGGAGGAATCATCAATCCTGAGCACTGGAACCATGAGGATCCATAAGGATTTTACATGACGCTAGTGGGCCCAAGCCAAGTAACCACTGCTGTAAGTGGAGCTGTGAGGGGAGCAGAGCAGTAGCACTGCCTCCCTGCAGAGCTCTCATGTTTGGAGAGAATCTTGCCTCTTGTGTTTTCCACTTAGATTTTGTGACAGATAAGTTAGTGTGGCTGGGAGCGAACTGGGAGTTCCTGCAGAAAATATGAGCATGAGTGTCTCACAGGGGGTACTTAATGCGGTTGCAAGGACAATAATAAACACCAACTGTATAAATGGGTCACATTTATTGGCAGCAGAGTTAATACAGCCACCACCATCCCTCTGGTACAAGGGAGGTGAACATGAAGGAGGCTCAGGATTAAAAGTGCGATGACCTTGTCAGTGATATGCAGACACATCAACCACACCCATCTTGGGACTTGTTGGACTTGAACAGACTCTAAGAGTAGGCAGGTTTTAATACCATTTTGGAGGATAACTTCTCGAGACCACAAAGTCAAGAGCTACATTCAGACTGTGACACTGTGAAGGGAAACCACGTGCAGAGTCTGTCACAGCGTAGTCAAGGACTGCACATTGGAGTGTGTCAGCTGGCACAGAGGGTAATGTAAATGCTCCCTGCTAAGTTCTTGTAAGTGAAGGGCACAGGGGTGGTGACTGCTTCTTCTCATAGTTAAGAGGGAGTAAATGACACCTTGCTGCTCACATCATCCTTCTGTGCTGTTTTCACCCATAGACTGCTCCCTTTTGTGCCAGACTTGCAGACGTGCTGGTGTTCAGAGCCCAGCAGTGCCCCAGCTTCTCCCTTTCAGTGGTTCCTGGCCAGCCTCTCCTTTCTGCTTCACATTGTCCTTGTTAAACTATTGGCTCCTGACATGGAGAGGCTTTTTGAGAAGATTGGTTAGGAAGAAAGGAAACGAGATTAAACAGAATGGGTCACTTGAGAACACTTGCAGAAATTTTGTCTTTATTTGCTTGGTCTGGTAGCTTTGGAAGATAGGAACTCCACGTGTTTTATGGTTACATTTCTATAACAAATAAAGTCTTTAATTACAGCAACCCTTACTCTCAAGCAGGCAGTAGGGAAGCCAAAAGAAAAATATAAAAGTTTGCTGTCAGAGTAATAGTGTCTAATAATCAGAAGTATCACATAATCCTCTGAAAATTAAAAATGGAATAATAAAATATTTTCCCCATTTACTAAGTTACTGTATAATCTTATCAGTGATACCATTCCTCATTTCAAACACTGTGGTGTTACCTATGGCAGCCTCTCCCGTGGCAAAGAATGGCACCTCCTGCTTTGCTTGGAAGAGGTTCCCTGCAGCTCCCCTGCTGTGCCGCAGCATCCCCCGAGCCCACGCGGCTGTCTGACAGTCATGGAGAGCGCAGTGTCAGAAGCAGGGTACGAATGTAGTTGGATTTGTGAAGGGAAAATAGAACTTGATACTTCAGTTCCCACAGAGTACTACCACAGAGACTATTCTCTGTAAAACTAAACCAGTGGAGTGATGTTTTACACCACAATATCACATAAAAGGCAAGACAGTTGGCCCAGTGATACTCCTACACAGACAAATTCCTGTGTCTCCGGACAGGTTCACATTTCTTTATCTGGCAAGCATAAAATTGTAGTCTGTGTACAAAGCAGCCTTTTCATTTAGGGAACAATTAAGCTAATCCCACAAGATTTCATGTTTAACTAGGTTTGTAGGGAGCAAGTTTGTAGTCTGCATTCAATCAAGCTCTTTTGACTTTCAGAAAATAGGGGCAAACCAGTGTAGTTGCAATGTAAAATTCTAAGCTTCCTGAGATGTGTGAGTCCTGCCTGAGTAAAACTATGCATCTGTTTGCTAAAACATTGGTATTTTATCTGGAGACTTCTTTCTTTAGTCTGCCTTTTATCTTCCAGTTAAGAAATGTAAGACTGCTTTTTTTGAATAAAATAAATTGGTGTACACTAAAGGACTCGATAAATGCATAGCAATACATACATGTGAACATGTATACAAGGCTCAGTTAAAGCTGCTATTGGCATTAAGGTGACATCAGCTGTACTCATGACAAGATGCAGGCTCTTGGCCTTCAAAGTCACACCTATTCAAGAGCATGGTCAGGCTCTGTGCTTTTTTCAGTGTGGTTTGAACTGGAGTTGGATCCAGCTGTGGCCAATGATGATCTGAATTCAATGAAGTCAAAAGAAGACAATAATTCAAGTTCAGTTCTGGTTTTTGACAAAACAATGGTTCAAATCAATCTTTGGTTTTGGTTCTACTTCCTGCTTAACAGCTGTGTAAAGAAAAACATCTGGAATAATACCCCAGCAGGGCCAATAACTGAGGCTGCTCTTTCATACTATCCAGATAGCACCAATATTAACAAAGTTTCAAGCCAGTTTTCAACAACAAACCAGAAAACTCCTTTTGTGCCTTACAGTCAATAGTAGCCAGGACTACAAATGGGAGTTGGAGCAGACAGCCTCCATTGGCACCAGGAACGGAAACAGGACAAGACCTGCCATTCTGGCTCTGCAGGAGAGAGGCAGAGCACAGCTCACGTGTACTCAGCTAATTCCCTTGTGCAGCCAAGCTGGACACACGGCTGCCTGGGCCAAGCTTTTGTGAGCCCTCGGCTGTGCCTGGGCACTGCACAGCATGGGCTGAGGCCCTGACATGAAGCTCTAACCACCTGATCCTCCTGTGAGATGCTGAATCCTAGATCTGACTGCCCCAGTATGCCAGCACTGCCTCTGCTGCCAGCTGGTAAGAGCAGCTGTGCTTAGTGCATCTCTTTGCACTTTCTTGCTGCACTGCACTGCTCTGCCATCCCTCTGACTTTTTTTAGCAAACTCCTCTGAATCTGGGACTATGTCTTTGTTCCATGTGCATATGGTACCTAACACAAACCAGTCTGTATTTGGAAGTAGGG